GTCCATACCATGAAGAATGTGAAAGTCACAGGACTGCAACAGGCATCTAGGAGAAAATAGACCAGTATATTACGTTGAATAAAATGTATGCCGCTGGAAAAATGATCCTGGAGTATTTGTCAATGGCGTGGGTGTCGATCCTCAGGCTCACGTAGCTGCTTCTCCGGCTTTTCCTCGCCGAGGCCAGCGGGAGCTGCACGGTCATCCGATCGGGCTTCTCCCCGTTCTCGGGCGTGTCCAGGTCGTTCACGTCCCCGTCGCTGTAGCTGCCCTCCCGCAGCGGCCCTCGCGCCTGGGGCAGGCCACAGGTGCAGGGGAGCTGCAGCCAACAAGCACAGGAACCCGAGCTCAACAGCGCATCCTGCCAGGTGGGGGAGGTTGTCTCTCTCGATTTCTTTTGCTCCCAGTTAGGGGCGGAGGTGGGAAACTAAGGCTGTGTGTCACTGTTGACATTTTAAAACAGTAAACATTCATTTTTGTATAAAGCCCATATGCATGTGTGTGGAGATAGATAGATAGATGGATGATATAGATAGTTATAGCCTCGGTGGCACAAACAGTTAAGTGCTTGCCTAGGAACTGGGAGGTTGGTGATTTAAGTCCAGAAACCACCTAAAAGGAAAAACCTGGAGGGCAGTTGTGCTTTGAAACCCTTGGGGTTCTCAGGAGTCGGAACTGATTTGACTTGACAGTGTCTGGTTTTTAAAGTCTGCAGCAGCTTTAGAAACATCAGAGAGGCCGTCAAGATGTTCATGTTTAAATAATCACCTCTTCCCAAGAGATCATAAGCTGACACCTGTTCTGATAACATTTACAGATAAAATTACTGCGCGTGTGTGCGCGTGCAAAGCCGTCAATATTAAAAGAACCAAATCTTCATTAACTTAGCCTACCAGTTCCTGGTATAATCCCCAAACTCCAAACTCCCTGTCATCAAATCAATTTTGACTCATAGTGACCCCCCACAGTACACAGTGGAACTGCCCCTGATGGTTTCCAAGACTGCAATTCTATGGAAGTAGCGCCTCTCTGGTGGATAATAGGTGTTAAAAAAATATTTCAGTGAATGAAAGGCATATCTGAGTAAATTTCCCAATGTCTCAGTGTTTTGTTTGTTCTTCACAACAACCCTGAAAAGTAGGTGGGGGAGGGAGGAGAGCTGTGATCACCCCCATTTTACAGAGATGGTCTGACCTCCCCAAGGTCCCAGAGTGAAACCAGGTGCCCTCCCTGACCAGACCACCTTTGAGCTCCTGGTAAGGTCACCTTCGTGTGCAGCTGGCGCTCCTTCCGCTCCTGCACGGTGGTCAGGTAGTTGACGGCCGCGTACTCCAGCACCGAGAGGAACACGAACACGAAGCTGACCCACAGGTAGATGTCCACCGCCTTGATGTAGGAGACGCGGGGCATGGAGGCGTTCACACCCGTGATGATGGTGGACATGGTCAGCACCGTGGTGATGCCTGCGACACACACATGCAGGTAGAGAGAAATGTGCATTTGCTTGTCTTTCACCAAAACCACTAGAGGCCATCACGCCTCTGCTGTTTGTCCCTACCTCTCCCTCTCCCTAGGAAGTGGCCATCCCTGCTCCTGGTGTAGCAAGCTCCCACTCATCTCTCAAGGCTTAGCGGCTGTGAAGCGTTCCCTGTCCCTGCCTGTTCACCACAGCATCTGTCCCACTGTGTCCTTCTGCGCAGAACAACAGACTTCTTGGCATTGTGAGATATATTTCAACTCAGTTCTTTAAAAAAAAAAAAAACTCAGAATGTGAGAAAAGGGGCTTATGCGTCAGGACATTACGTCTGTGGTTTATACACTGCTCCACCAAAGGGGGGCGGTAAACACTGTGTATCTTAACCTCACTACACTTGTTTTTACCTAGATACGAGAGGTTGGAACCTTCCATCTCAATCACTAAATTTTTCCTTCCAAAGTGTCTTATAATGGAATGTTTCAGTGGAACTCTGCTTTAATATTGTATAAGCCAGTCATTATCTATTTGAATAGATTTGGTTTAGTTAATCTGTGTTAGCATGTAAACTTGTTTTGATTAAAGTTCTCTATTAAAAATAATTTTTTTAATGTGCAGATATGATCAGGTACATATGTTTCTTGAAACTATGTTCTGTAATCCTGGGTCTGTGTTACTGGGGGGCCGGGCATCCACTTGAAGCCACCCCAGACTGGACCGGACTGGCAACTCAGCAGCGTGACTTTGCGGGCTCTGAAGTCAGTTTTACCCGTGATGAAGAAGTAACCTAAAAAGAGCCCGTCATTAAAAATGAGAATGCCATGTGATTGAACTCTGGACTGGTAGGATGTCTGGATAGGCTCCTGATAGTTTGGGGGGGAAAACCAGAATGTACATTTATTTAACACAGAAACTTTTCAAGCTATAAAACCACTATTAACAGACAGGACATCTGTCAGCAGACATTTGCCCAGGATTTCAAATTAAGCTCAGAACATTTGCTTGGCAAACATCAAACCGTGGGGGATTAGGGTCATCTTATGGGGCCAACTCCAATCCAGTTTCATTAAAACCTGGTGGGTCTACATCTGTCCTGAACCCTGACTCGTCTGAGCCAGGACGGTGCCTGTGGCTGGGTGGGGCAATCTTTCCAGTGAGCAAGAGTGTTGGCTGCCAACAGCCGCCCATGGCCTGTTCACAGAGGCATGGTTCTCAGACTTGCAGGTGCCAAGAGTCAGGGAAGAGCGTGGTAAAGGTGCAGATTTCTGAGCTTTCCTCAGAGACTCTGATTCTTGTGGATTTCAATGAGACCGAGACCTCTTCTTTGAAAAAGCTCTGGGGGAGATTCTGTTGCCAAGCTCTCGGCAGTCTGCCTCGGAATGTGATTCCCTGTGTAGGTGCGTCGAGAAAGCCCCCACAGGACAGGACCACTTACACTGGAGCCCTGCTCTCATCGGACCAAAGGTGGGCTGTTTTGATGGGCATCTGCAGTCACCTGGACACAATTTTGCTACATAGATTCTTTATTCTGGGAATTTACCTGTGACTAGGGGTCCCAAGGTAGGAATAACGGTTTGTGGTCAACAATTAACCTAAAGGTGGGTGGTTCAAACCCATGTAGTGGCACAGAGAAGGAAGGCCTGGCAGTCTACAAGGAGTCGGGCCGAGAAACCCTGCAGAGCAGTCCTCGTCCACACACGTGGGGTCCTCACGAGTAGTCAGTCAATTTGACAGCAAGAGGCTTGTTGGATTGTTTCACCTGTGAATGAGTAGGAGATGCTTCCAAGTGATGGACGTGGAGGATAGGACCAATCTGAAGGAAATGGTTTTATCTGGAGAGAATGACTTCAATTTGTAGACACCTGTAATGGGTGCTGGGCTCCTTACCCAAAGGGACTCTGGCAGGCACAGCTCTGCGGTCGATCCAGAAGGACACCCAGGACAGCATGACCATCAGGGTGGCGGGGAAGTAGGTCTGGAGCAGGAAGAAGAAGATGTGGCGCCGCAGCGTGAAGTTAATGTACAGACGGTTGTACCAGCCTAGGACACACACGGAGGAAAAGATAGCACAGACCGCAGCTAAGCAGCACCTTCATAAAACAAGTATTACCAGGGACCCATCAATGCCCTAGACACGTGTTCCCTACTGTATTATACTTCCCTCCAGTAGAGTGAGGAAAACCACTGAACCAAGCGCCATACCATCTAACACACCATGTGGGCAAATCCATTTCATGAAATCTTGGGTGCTTTTCTTTATCTTTGTTTGTTTATTTGTTTTTTGAAAAATCACACTTTTATTTTAGTAAATTGCACACCTTCATTCTTATTAACGGGTAGGGTGTTAAAGCAAGCTATGTTTTCTCCAGAATCTAAAACTTTATGTTCCTCTGCCATCCAGTGGATTCCAACAGAACTAGGTGCTAGTCTAGAGCAATTTCTTTTGTAGGGTTGCAAAGCTCAAGGATCTTCCACTTTACCTCTTTATACTTTTTTTGATTTGTCATGTTTTAAAAAATGCATAATGTCTCAATTAGGAGTAAGTTTGGCTGTACCAGAGTGACTGCATCAAAAGAGAAGTCTCTTTCTCTCCCACACAACAGAGGGCAAGGGCGGCAGTGGCAATGCCCGGGCAGCAGCAGCAGTCACAGGACTGGAGTGACATCCACACTCACAGGAACCAGTAAGCTTGGTTGGATCCAGTCGGCACCAGGCTCACTTAACTGTGTGGGACACAGAGCAAGAGAGGCAGTCGGACAGCATAGGTGTGCACCAGGCTTGGTTTTAGTTGGAGGAACTTTCACTGTGGTCTCCCGGTCCCATTATGCCTGGGGTCACCATTAGCTGTGACTCCACGGTAGCCAACAATGCATGCTTCTGGTAATTGATGGTGCTTATAATTGAAAACTAATATACGTACCTTAGTAAAAGATCCCCAAATCAAAGGATTCATCTAGTCTCTAGAATTATTTCAGCCAGTTTGGGGTTTGATTTTTTCATTCAATTCATGCTTGGTCTTGAAATGACTCTGCTATATTAGGTTTTGCTATAATTGGAAAGGTGTATAGCCAACAAAAAGAATAAACTAGATGAACAGCTGGAACCTACAGATGCAAAAACTACTGAGCTCACAGTGTGGTATTAGGAGGAACATTTCACTAAGGAGTGACTTCCAGCACAGCATCCTGAGAATCCGTAAAAACAAAACCTTCTGTATCAAAAGAAGGGATTTTGATAAGAGGCCAGAAATCCTCTACCTCCAAGTGCAGTAGTTTCTCTTGTTCATAACTCAGGTCTGAATTATCTTTCACTGGAATATCTTGCCCCTTCAATTCTAGCAGTTTATTCGGGGCTGGAGTTACAATGTCTTCGTCTTCATGTGGAGAGCTATGATTCATGCTTGGGGCCATTGGAGGAATCACTATCATTGATTTGCAGCCATTCCACACCAGCAATGTCCTCTTCTCCTTCCTTCTGTCCTGTCAGAAGAGTTCTTGTCATGTTGAGTCTCTTCATTGTATGGCATTTGTATTTTATCACTTGATCTTAACCAAAAGGCTGAGAAGCGATCGGCACTTGTATTTTATCATTTATCATTGCCTTCACCATCCACATGTTCCATCCATTTGTTGCCATCATCGTTCTCAAAGGTCATGGTATTTTCAATTGCCTCATATGCATGTGAAAGATAGATAAGGAAGACCAAAGAAGAATAGATGCTTGTGGATTCTGGGGTTGGCAAAAATTACCGGTAACACTGTGAGTTACCCAAAAAACACACACATCTGATTTAGACGCAAACCAGAATGCTTTTGGGAGTGAGGATGGAGAGACTTTGTCTCATGTACTTTGGGCCTGTTATCAGGAGAGACCAGTGCCTGGGAAAGGACATCACGCTTGGTAGCGGGGGAAAAGAAGCAGACCCTCAATGAGAAGGATTGTTACTGTGGCTCTAACAATGGGCTTAAACATACAATAATTGTGAGGATTGGGAAAGGTTTTGTTCTGCTGTACATCGGGTCATTCTGAACTGGAACCATTTGACGGCACCTAATAACAATGTGGATCAGAAGAACGGGGCCCCGGATATACCAAGGCTCATGGGTGTTGTAGACCCCAAACCATCGCCATCGCGTGAATGCCAAGTCATTGCGAACGTGGAGGACAGAGCAGCACTGTCTTTAGGGATCCCAAGGCTGCACTCTTTCTGGAAGTAGCTGAAAACTGGTGGGTGATATATATAGAAGATAGGATGTTGCAATGACGTTTTGAGTAGAACAGTGATGTTACAGATTAGAAAGAGAACAATGTGTGTAAAAGGCTGAAATGGTCGGTGCAGATAATCGTGTAATGTGTTAGCAGTGGAAATTGCATAAAGATTTCAGCAAAGTCATCCTGAACGTTGACTGGTCAAAAAGAGACATGGGGCAGAGAGAGTTAATATCATGGGTTGCAATAGCACAGACAGGCTGTCAGGAGGAAGGCCACAGACCCTGTCCTCAGGCAACCGAGGGTACCAAGCCAGTCCAAAGCCTTATTCCATAAGGCAATCGCCCGGCCTTCAGGAAATGACCGGCAGTTCCTGCACTGAGACTTGGGGGAGGTCAGGAGCAGGGCTGTGGGCTTACAGCAAGATGGAGAGAGAATGGAGCAAACCGGAGAAGCTCGCTGGAGGCAGAGAGAATGGGAATGGAGCACAAATTTGAGATTGGGGCCTTCCTTGTCCAGTTCTGCTATAAAAGAAATACCACAAGTGAGTGCCTTCCACAACCAAATTTATGTTCTCTCCATTTAGGAAGCTTGTAATTAAAAAACTCACTGCCATTGAGTCGAACACGATACACAGCAACTCCATAGGACAGGACAGAACTGTACCTATGTACTTCTAAGCCTGTTAGGCTTTACTGGAGTAGTAAGTCTCATCTTTCTCTCTAGGAGTAGCTGGTGGTTTCGAACGGCTGATCTTGTGGTTAGGAGCCCAATATGTAACCACTAGGCCAACAGGGATCATTAGGAGGCTAGAAGAAGCTCTAGTCGAGAGGACGGCTTCTCTCTTAGTTAGCTTTCCTCAGCCTCTCTCCCTTGACTGGTGGTGTTCGTGTGGCATGGCATCGCTCTTCCTTGTCTCTTCTTGCTTCTGCCTGGCTACTCTGCTCTTTCTCTCTCAGATGGCTGAATAGTGTGATGAACACCATCTGGGCCACTGAGTTGTACATAGACAGCATGCTGTCCTGCCAAAGGTGTTGTGATGTATTTTTTTACCCCAATTAAAAAAAACGGGGAAAAAATCACCTCCACCTTCTAGACTTCCTCGAAGATTCCTGACTTTTGTTTCATATCCAGATTGTGCGTTGTGAATTAGATGCGTGAGCAACACTGCAGCCATTTTCATGGGACTCTACTATGCTTAAGCATAATTGGGTTTTTTCTGTTTGTTTACTTGGTAAAACAGCTGACGGCTTTTGCTCAGAGCCTCTTTGCTTGTATGACAGGAGAAGTTGATATCGGCAAGACCAGCTGAGCTAGATCAAGATGATTTCGTGTGATTTTCCTTTTCCATGGTCACGGTTTGGCCAGGTTCCAGCCAGAAGCAGTAAAGGAAAGACCGCGAGGCCTGCGGGCTGAGACATTCACCTGGAGACAGGATGGCACAATCCCCAGGCTGCCTGATACTCCGTCACAATCCTGAGCAGGGTGAGTTGGGTTCGATCTCCTCTTCCTCCTCCCCCCATGGCACCCCTCCTTCAGAGAAGACTGAGGACTTTGGAGAAACCATGATCTCTTTCACATTTCCTCTCTGGTGGTTCAGCCGGGCATCTGAAGGTAATGGGTGGGGGGCGGGCTCTACCAGGCCAACGAGAACGTGATCACATACCCACCCCTGCGGCTGACTTGTGACCCAGGATCTCCGATGCCCCACAGTGTGGTCCATGCAAGTGTGTTTCCGGTTTTAGCAGAGCCCAGCTATTTTTTGTTTTTGTTTTTTTCCCCATTTTATTGGGGGCTCTTACAACTCTCGTTACAATCCATACATCAATTGTCTCCAACATAGTCATACATACCTTCCATCATTCTTTTCTAGACATATACTTTCCATTGAGCCCTTGGGATCAGCTCCTCCTTTTTCCGATGGTCCATCTGGACTCTGTGGCCTGAGTCGATGGGCCATCGCTCTCCCTCCTCCCTTTGTTTCCTTTCTTAATTTCCTTTGCTCTCTTCGTCCCAGTATTTCCTGCAAATTTTGCAACCTAAGTCTTTCACGTTCCTTCTTCTGGGGGGTTTCATTTGGGCCCCCATCCTGTCCCGACTGCTCTCCCCAGTCCTGATGGCCACTCTGCATCTCCTCCTCTTCCTGGTCATCACACAGCAGAAGATCCCGCCTCTGCCCCCCATTGCTCTTTTGGCCTTTTCCAGTGACATTGCCCTGAGGCTTGCTTTTTGCTGGCACAACAGAGCAGCAGGGGGAGCACAGCAGCAAAGTCCCCGAGGAACCCCCAAATAGACTTCAGACTGGGGGACAGGGCTCGGCACTACATCAGACCCGATGGGAAACATTCATTAGGGTCAGCAGACAGACCTGGAACTATTCATCGACTTTTTTTTCCTTTTCTTTTTTTCCATGTCTATCCATATAAGATAGGCAGAATAAATGATCCCGAGTAGAAAACAAGGGGACCAACAGTTCCAGGGGGACGGGAGTGGAGGGGGGGGGGGGGGGG